CCAAAAACCCCCAAAACTGGGACTGGGGACCCCAAAAATGGGGTAAAAGACCCCAAAAATGGAATGGGGGACCCCAAACGGGGTGGGGACCCCAAAAACGGGGTCAGGGACCCCGAAAACCCCATCGGGGACCCCAAAAAACCCCAAAAACGGGGTCAGGAACCCCAAAAATGGGGTCAGGGACCCCGAAAACGGGATCGGGGACCCCAAAAAAACCCAAAAATGGGATTTGGGACCCCGAAAATCCCAAAAAATGGGGTCAGGGACCCCAAAAATGGGATCGGGGACCCCAAAAACGGGGTCAGGGACCCCGAGAACGGGATCGGGGACCCCAAAAAACCCCAAAAATGGGATTTGGGACCCCGAAAAACCCCAAAAATGGGACTGGGGACCCAAAAATGGGGTCAGGGACCCCGAAAATGGGATGGGGGATCCCAAAAAACCCCAAAAATGGGATTTGAGGCTCCAAAAATGGAGTCAGGGACCCCAAAAATGGGATTGAGGACCCCAAAAATGGGGTAAAAGACCCCAAAAATGGGATCGGGGACCCCAAAAACCCCCGAAAACGGAATCAGGGACCCCAAAAACCCCCAAAACTGGGACTGGGGACCCCAAAAATGGGGTCGGGGACCCCAAAAATGGAATCGGGAACCCCAAAAATGGGATGGGGGACCCCAAAAATGGGGTGGGGACCCCAAAAAATCCCATTGGGACCCCCAAAAAATGGGTCAGGAACCCCAAAAATGGGGTAAAATACCCCAAAAATGGAATCAGGGACCCCAAAAACCCCAAAAATGGGATCGGGGACCCCAAAAATGGGGTCAGGGACCCCAAAAATGGAATTGGGGACCCCAAAAACGGGCTTTGGAACCCCTGGAAAACCCGGAACCCGGATCCCTCCCCCAACCGGATCCGGATCCCCCATACCCGGGACCCAGAACCCCAAAACCCGGAACCCGGAACCCCGGATCCGGAACCCCAAAACTCCAGTCTAGAACCCCAAAATTCTGAGTCTAGAACCCCAAAATTCGAGTCTAGAACCCCGAAAATTGGACACCTAGAACCCCGAAATTCTGAGTCTAGAACCCCGAAAATTTGAGTCTAGAACCCCAAAATTTGGGATTGAAAACCCCAAAATCTGGGATCTGGAACCCCAAAATTTGGGACCTAAAAACCCCAAAATTTGACACCTAGAACCCCAAAATTTGAGATCTGGAATCCCAAAATTTGGGACTTAAAAACCCCAAAATTCGGGATCCAGAACCCCAAAATTCCAGACCTGAACCCCCAAAATTCTGGAGCTAAAACCCCAAAATTTGGGACCTAAAAACCCCCAAAATTTGGGATCCAAAAACCCCAAAATCCGGGATCTGGAACCCCAAAATTCAGGACCCAAAACCCCCTAAAATTTGGGGCTCAGAATCCCAAAATTCCAGATCTGGAATCCCAAAATTCTGGACCTAAAAACCCCAAAATTTGGGACCCCAAACCCCAAAATTTGGGATCTGGAATCCCAAAATTTGGGACTCAGAATCCCAAAATTCCAGACCTGAACCCCCAAAATTCTGGAGCTAAAACCCCAAAATTCCAGACCTTAAACCCCAAAATTCCAAACCTGGAACCCCAAAATTTGGGATCCAAAAACCCCAAAATCCGGGATCTGGAACCCCAAAATTTGGGACCCCGAACCCCAAAATTTGGGATCCAGAACCCCAATGGGAACCCTCAAAAAAATGGGATCTGGAACCCCCCAAAATGATCCCAGGAACCCCAAAATCCCCTCAGGACCCCCCAAAATTCCCAAAATCCCCAAATTTTGAACCCAGAACCCCCAAAATTCCAGAAATTCCCAAATTTTGAACCCAGAACCCCCAAAATCCCCTCAGGACCCCCCAAAATTCCCCAAAATTCCCAAATTCTGAGCCCAGAACCCCCAAAATTCCAGAAAATTCCCAAATTTTGAGCCCAGAACCCCCAAAATTCCAGAAAATTCCCAAATTTAGAGCCCAGAACCCCCAAAATCCCCTCAGGACCCCCCAAAATTCCCCAAAATTCCCAAATTCTGAGCCCAGAACCCCCAAAATTCCAGAAAATTCCCAAATTCTGAGCCCAGAACCCCCAAAATACCAGAAAATTCCCAAATTTTGAACTCAGAACCTCCAAAATCCCCTCAGGACCCCCCAAAATTCCCAAATTTTGAACTCAGAACCCCCAAAATTCCCTCAGGACCCCCCAAAATTACAGAAAATTCCCAAATTTTGAGCCCAGAACCCCCCAAAATTCCAGAAATTTCCCAAATTTTGAGCCCAGAACCCCCAAAATTCCAGAAAATTCCCAAATTTTGAACCCAGAACCCCCAAAATTCCCCAAAATCCCCAAATTTTGAACCCAGAACCCCCAAAATCCCCTCAGGACCCCCCAAAATTCCCCAAAATTCCCAAATTCTGAGCCCAGAACCCCCAAAATTCCAGAAAATTCCCAAATTTTGAGCCCAGAACCCCCAAAATTCCAGAAAATTCCCAAATTTTGAACTCAGAACCCCCAAAATCCCCTCAGGACCCCCCAAAATTCCCGAAAATTCCCCAAAATTCCCAAATCCCCAAAAAACCTGGATGGGGGCGCGGATCCGGCGCCGGAAGAGCAGAAATTTCCGGAATTTCGAGGTCAGGGCCTCTCGAGCCGCTCGGCCCCGGAGCTGGAGCAGGAACGCCCGGATCTGCCAAAAGGCGGGAAAAATCGGGAAAAATCGGGAATTTGGGGAAATTTGGGGGAAATTTGGGATTTTTGAGGGGAATTTTGGATTTTTTGAGGGGAATTTTGGGGAAAATTTGGGATTTTTGAGGGGAATTTGGGGAAAATTTGGGATTTTTGAGGGGAATTTTGGGGGAATTTTGGGGTTTCTGAGGGGATTTGGGGGGAATTTGAGGGGAATTTGGGATTTTTGAGGGAATTTTGGGGTTCCTGAGGGAATTTTGGGGGAATTTTGGGGTTTTTGAGGGGAATTTTGGGGTTCCTGAGGGAATTTTGGGGAAATTTTGGGGTTTCTGAGGGATTTTTGGGGGAATTTTGGGGTTTCTGAGGGAATTTTGGGGAAATTTTGGGGTTTTTGAGGGGATTTTTGGGTTTTTGAGGGGAATTTTGGGGAAAAATTTGGCTTTCTGAGGGAATTTTGGGTTTTCTGAGGGAATTTTGGGTTTCTGAGGGGATTTAGGGGAAAATTTGGGATTTCTGAGGGAATTTTGGGGGGATTTGGGGGAAATTTTGGGGTTTCTGAGGGAATTTTCGGGTTTTTGTGGGGAATTTTGAGGCAATTTTGGGATTTCTGAGGAGATTTTGGGGGAATTTTTGGGAAATTTGGGGTTTCTGGGGGAATTTTGGGATTTCTGAGGAAATTTTTAGGGTCTTTGAGGGAATTTTGGAGGAATTTTGAGGTTTCTGAGAACGAAACTTTGGGCATCCCTGAGAGAGAAATTTGGGGGGAATTTTGGGGGTCCCTGAGGAGAAATTTGGGGATTTCTGAGGGGAAATTTGGGGCACTTTGAGGAAAAATTTGGGGCTGTTTTAGGGGGAAATTTGGGGTTTTTTGAGAGGGAATTTGGGGATTTCTGAGAGGAAATTTGGAGCTGAGGGGAAATTCGGGGCTCTTAGAGGGAAAATTTGGGGGATTTTTGAGAGGAAATTCAAGGCTCTCTGAGGGGAAATTTGGGGCACTTTGAGGAAAAATTTCGGGCTGTTTTAGGGGGAAATTTGGAGATTTTGGAGAAAGAATTCGGGGTTCTCTGAGGGGAAATTCGGGGCTTTTTAAGAGGAAATTCGGGGATCTCTGAGGAGAAATTCGGGGCTTTTTAAGAGGAAATTCGGGGTTCTCTGAGGGGAAATTCGGGGCTTTCTGAGGGGAATTTGGAGGTTTCTGAGGGAAATTCGGGGCTCTCTGAGGTGCCGATTTCAGGGCTCCCCTGCCGGGATCCCCCCGAGCCTCCCCGGCTCCCTCCCCACCTCCTCCTCGCTCCTCCGGGGCAGCTTCTCCCTCAGCGCCGCCGGCAGCCGCTGCTCGGGGAGGCCTCTCCGCGCCTCCGCCCTCAGCGCCGCCAGCAGCTCCCGCTTCTCCCGCAGCCCCCACGCGCCTCTCCGGGGCCTCTCGGGGCTGCGCGGAGCCTCCGCCAAACGCGAAGGGAGAAAACGGAGCCGCCGCGGCGGTTTCATGGCGGCGGCTCCTTCCTCCCCCCCCCGCTCACGGCGCCAAAATGGCGGCGGCGGCGGCGGCTTCTTGGCGCGGTTTCAGTGACGTCACAATAGCGCGACGGCGCCGGGGTTTTGGCGCTGTTTTAGTGACGTCACAAGAGCGCGATGGCGCCAAGTCCTTGGCGCGGTTTCAGTGACGTCAAAAGAGCGCGACGGCGCAAAAAATGGCGGCTGCGTCCAGGCGCGTTTTTAGTGACGTCACGAGGACGCGACGGCTCCTACATATTGGCGCGTTTTTAGTGATGTCAAACGAGCGCGACGGCTCCTTATTGGCAGGATTTTAGTGACATCACAAGAGCGCGACAGTGCTGAAAATGGCGGGTGCGTCTGGTCGCGTTTTTAGTGACGTCACAAGAGCGTGACGGCGCCAAAAATGGCGGCGTCATCTTCTGTGGAGCGTTTGTGACATCACAAGAGCGCCACGGCACCCAAAATGGCGGCGGCGTTTCCTTGGCGCGGCTTTTAGTGACGTCACCGGAGCGCGCCGGCTCCAAGATGGCGTCATCGTCCTCTTGGCGCGTTTTTGGTGACGTCACAAGAGCGCGACGGCGCCGAAAATGGCGGCGGCGCCTTTTTAGTGACGTCACAGGAGCGCGACGGCGCCAAGATGGCGTCGGGGAGGAGCCGGAAGCGGAAATCGGGTTGGGGGCGGGGTTTATTGGGT